CCGCTCTGCCCTCAAAGGCAAAGTCAAAGGTAAAGCAACTGACTAAAAAAAAGGTTTGGATGCCTTGCCTTAGTCATTCATACTTGAAATGCCTGATCTTTATTCAGTTTAAGGGTGGCCGTGGAAATGCTGCAGCGACTAAACCAACTGATGGTACCTGTGTCTGTTTACCTGTTAGGGAACCCATGAAGTTTGCCTCCACCTTCTCTCCGTTGGGAGTCATTGCTGTGTAAGCTGCTGCAGTTTGTCTCTCCCACCTGGATGACGTGTGACTCTTACAGTGAAGTGAGCCTGTGATTTTCTGCTTTCTTCTGTGCCCAGCACTCCCTGATGGCATCTGGGTTTGGATCCTGCTTGCACAGCAGAGCGTGTTTGTCTTGCAGAAAGTGTGATGTTCACAGGAAGAATATACTGCATATGCACATTGAATGCATTTGCTAGGCTAATGCTTGAATAATTTGCTAGAATTGCATGAAAAGGCTTCACAGAGGGTGATATTAAAGCAATAGATAGCCAAGGACACTGAAATTTGTTCTCCTCCTCTTTTCCCTGTCTCACTATGCTGATATTTGCTGTGACCTTAATGATCTTAGTGGCCATGTGCTGAACAAGCCTCCGTCTGTTTGAGGCATGGAGAGTAACATAGGTACAATGCAAGCAGCTTCAGGCAAGACTCATTCCTGCATTGCTGGTGGCCATGCATGGATATGGGCAGCRGATCCATGGATATGCAGGGGACAGAGCCAATCTGGGCAAATCCACTGGGAGGACCAGGCCTGTATCCTCATGCCCAGCTGCACAAACAAGTTACCTTATGGAGGAGAACAGTGTTCATGGAGCAGCTGATGTGCTGTTAATTTACACCATCATTCACCTCCTGGAGCCATGCCCTATGATTTCTTCCTCCTCTCCCATCAGACGGGTTATCCACATTCGCCCCTTTGCTGGCACCAGCTTTCCATTCTTGGTGACTGAGTGAAGCCTTGTGTTGCTTCCATAGATGTTGTGAAGAAAGCGAAATGTGGTCAGAAGTTCACAGGGCTGGTTTATTTTCCCCATTGCACTTTACTTGCCCTATTCCAAGTAACATCTTGTTGTTCTTCTTTCAGGTCCCTGTGATTCTCATTCGTTGCTGAAACTGCTGAGAGCAGCGCAGGGAGTAAGGGCATTTTGACTGCCCCATGCTGTAGAAGGAAACCTAATTGTTAATTACAGTGTCTTAATTGAAACCATATATGCGTTCTTGTTAATTTTGCTAAACTCAACAGTTGTTGTGCTAATGATAGATCTCTCAAAACAGGAAATTGTTTCCATTGTGTTTGATTTTATTTATGAAAATGTGTGAACCCGTTAGAATACCCTGCATTTCCCTCTCCAGGATATGACATGAGTCATTTCAACACCCTTAAAAGTGAAATAACTCCCTACTGAGATGTCTTTTAACCAGCCTGATGTATATCTGATCCCTTCCTCAGGCTGTTGAGGGAAATAAATCCCACATCTTCCTTCACACTGAGCGCTGGCCTGGCACAGGATTTCTCCGGGACTTCACACAGCAGCAAAAAAAGAGCTGAAGCTGGAATCTGTCCCTGGAGAAGCTACCCAGCGTTGCTGTTCTCATACCAGCTCTCTCACTGCTCAGTTATACTGGCGCATGTCTGCAATAAATTTACAGACTGTAAATAGTTTGGAACTAGTATCTGGATTCTTTATGAATACTATAAATCATGGGTATGCTCTGGGGTAGAGTGAAATACTTACAAGTAGGAGGAACCGAGGGATTGTTTGCCTAGCTACAAAGCAGGGCTGATGATAGGAATAAAAGGCTTGTTCTTAACTGTAAAGGTATCTTAAGGATGGGTCACAACCAGAACACTGAGGTAAGCAGCCTCCGTGTTGCTTCACCACAGAATTCTCCAGGGAATCTGCTATTACTCTTGATTTATGTTCATAAGATTCCTGTGATGTGTGCTGCCTTACAAAATGTGTGGGGCTTGAGGGATATCACGGAGATCTAAGCTAGATGAATCCAATTTCTGTGGATGTGTAGATTCCTTGTAGGCTCCTTGTAAAGCAGGAGAGCTTTGCAGGAGTCCTGAAGAAAGATCGAGGCCTGTTTCTGCGTTGCTTGTTCCATTTGAGTCAAAATAGTTTCCCTGCAGCATCTTAGCCCGCAGGACAAGGACAGTGGGGCCTGCAAGCTGGGGGCACCTCGTCTGTGCAGCCCAAAGCAGAGGCAACCAGGCTGGTCTGTGAAACTGCCCCATAGGTCAGCTGTGATTATTTGATTAATTGAAGCTGAGGGGAGCTGGCGCATCACAGCTGGCTGTGGGGCCTCCCCAAGAACCATTTCTTTGTGTAAGAAGGACTGGAAGGTTCTGCCATCTGAGGGCACCTTCACAGCTTCTGTGATATGAGCAGAGAGGTTCTCATCTGCACGTGGCAGAGGGCAAGTGGTTTTTGGAAGACCCAGGGAATAAATGCAGGCTTCTTTCTTACTCTCTTGCATCAGAAAAGGAGGCTGGTAAGACCTTTTCTTTCAAATGTACTGAAGCCACCAGCAACACGGACAAGAGTTATGGCCCAAGGTTCCCCCATCAGCCTGCGTCCAAAGTCTGTCGCACCCAGAGCAGTGAGGCTGCTCCTCTGCTACCGCCTGCTGGGTCACTGTGATCAGCACAACATGGAACAGGAAAAAGTTTGGAATCCCCAGAGCTTCCCACCCTTTTCCTTGGTTTTCAGAGCATTACTGTGAAATATTGTGCTGCCCTTGCAAAGCAGAATAGGGAATATGTGAATTGGGTGGAATTTCTATGGTTCCTTTTCCCCATTGTGGGCTCCCAAAACAGATTAGAGAGGCCACAGTTTTATGTAACAGTAATTATTCACAGGGAAATTAATTACAGTGAATTATGTAAGGTATTAGCAAGTAAGAAAGGTGCTTTATTGTTCTTGTCAGCCCTGCTTAACTGAGCAGGTTTCTTCTGTATTTTATATGGCTAAAACACACAGAGAAGCAGGGTGCAAAGGAAGTTAATCCCAAGCCTTTCCCAGGCAGGTCACAGCAGTGTAGGGCAAGTGCTTATCCTCCCATCCCTAGGAGGATGAAGGTTCTTTTAGGAGTAGGAAAAAAAGCAGGGTTTGGCACATKTAGACCCTCCCATACACACTCAAAGCAACATCTTGGATATGAGATCGGACGCATGGGTTGGAAATTAGCTGTTTTTTCATTTGATTGTTCATTGTTYTTTAATCACTAGTTTTAAAATAATTTGAACAGCTTGGGACCGCTTTAATTTCTTTTCAGGGTATTTCAAAAGGGGCAACTTATACTGATCTAGAGAAGAAAATCTTTCTCATCCTAAAATTTCTTCTTAGCAGCGCAGCCAGAATTGCMACCCTGGGTAGCACACAGCCCAGCAGTCAGTAATTGAATAGACAGTTCATCTTTTAACAGACAAATTTTATTGAATATATGCAAACTAAGCAAAGCTAAGCAGTGATGTCCAAGCTCCAAAAACAAGATCTCACCAATCCGCTGGCCAGACGTCTTGGGAGTCTTGGGAACCTGGGGATGGTTGCTGCAAAAGTCCATGTGGATTCAGCTCCTTTAAGTCCAGGGTTTTCTTTTCTGGTTCTTTTATTGTCTTTTGAAGACTTTGAGGCTGGTAACACCTCTGCCATCTTCAGTGGCTGCTTCTCCTAGCGCAGGTGTTAGATTCCTTTCTGTTTTCTTCCAAAGACACTGTCCTTGGCTTTCCTTTTGCCCTTCTGCTCTGCTTAAGGAGTCTTAAATCACACAAGAGCAGCATCTTATGGTGATTTGGGGGTGGGAAGTTCAATCACAGGTTACTTAGGCTAACTGTCACTCATGCCAACAGCAGGCTGCTTGGCCTGCACTCGCCTCCTGGATGGCCCTCAGAGCAGAGGTGGCCATCACTCACATCAAGGTCTGGCATGGCATGTGTCCCCACCGCTCAACGCCTAATGGGTTGCAGCCAACAGCGGAGCTCAAGGTTCTTCTTGGTGGCAAACACAGAGGCCAACCCAGTCTTGCCCTTGACTATGGTAGGAGGCGCTTAGCCAGACCCAYGCTTTTCAGCTGGTCATCAAGATAGTGTCTCACCTGCCTCATCCAGTAGCAGGTCGCTATCATGGCAACACACACACAGATCTGCATYAGCAGTATAACCACAACAGGATGCAGCAGTGCATTGAAGATGCCGGTCGCTGTAGGTGACCAGCCAAAGAAGATTTCCCACCAGTGGTGGTCTCCCACCCGCTTAATCCGTTCCATGACCTGCTTTATCACATTGCCATCATGGTGCACAGTTATTAGGATCTTTTTAGCTTCTGCCTTAGCGTTTTCTAAAAGCTGTTGTAAATCTGCATGCTCTAACATTTCTTTTACAAGCGACAAATCCATACCGATGGGGGTCGGGTTTATGCTATGATATAGRGTATAGTTTCTAATCAGCAATTGACTAGTAAACACAGGCGTCTTRTACACAAAATCACAGCCTCTAATAATAACTACATTGCAAGCACACGTATTAGAGTCATTAAACACCGTCTGGTTATAAATTTCATTAATTAGCACGTATTTACACATTGTTCTAAAACACACACATCCTTTCCCTACGTAAGCTAATGCGGTTTTATTGTTGCTCTGCGGATTGATCTCAAAATGGCACACGCCCTCCTTGGTATCAAAACAAACATCGCTCGCCTTAAGGGCATCATCTTCGCATATGAACCCCAGCCCCCGTTCCAAAATGCAGGCTTCTAAATCTACCGATTGCCATTTTTTACCAGACACCCGTGCCCACATTCGGTGGTCCAGGGGRTAGACCACAGATTCGTTAGTGTTAATGCCTAGGGCTACAATGGGGTAAACCTTTTCAATGGTGGCATCCGCCACSGTCAGTACGTAGGCAATGACTGCGTTGAGGACCTGGTCGTGGGTGAAGTTCACAAGTCTCCACCACGCTTGGAGCTGTCGCTCTTTTTCCGTGGCCGCGTCCCACACGATCTTTCGGATCTCGGTGGGAAGGACTCCGTTGTCTCCGTCTCTCAATATGCCTGCAACGACACTCTGCACCCACGTCTGGGCCTGGATGCAACTAAGAGCGAGGGATACGTTATTTTGTTCCACTCCCAGTGCTTGCAGCAACACCTGGTGATCTTTCTCACTTATTTGTTCCCAGGTAGGTAACACATCTGACACGAGCCATTGCCCCATTCCTAGGTTGGCTAGGGAGGAATTAATGGGATTTATAAGGCCTTGCATTCCAGAAGTTACAGCCTCTATCTTATTGGCAAGGACTTCAGCATTCATGCTGTTGAGTACTCCAAGGCCGGTTCCTCCTCCTCCCAGGGCTGTGGACAGCAGGTCGCGCTTAGTCCGGGCTTCATGGATGGACCGGCTGTGAAGCCAAGCCAACCATCCGGTATAGAGGGTAGACAGGAAGGGGGTACAGTGTGGCCTGACCGATGAAATATTAACGGTGGACAAGGATAACACCACCTTCTTCAGCGACCGAATGGGCCCAGTTAATAACTCTTGGATATGATTTTGCTTAACTACATAAGGGCCTATTTTTGAAACAAAAGGGCGCAAGACAGCAAGTATGCTAAATTCTTTTTTAAAACCTTCAGGGCCTGCTATTAGCCATTTTCCTCCAAGCTCTGAGGACATCTGTATGCTCAAATTCCCTTGACACCACACCTGAAGATTTATGATGGGRTGTGGACAGTGTCCATAATCCTGATTATACCATGAACCCTCTGCACTGAATTGAGATTTCTTCAGCGTTTTGCTCTCGCGGATGCAATTTACTGACACAACCCATTTGTGGCCATTAGGGGCAGTGATAGTCACAGTGGCACCATTAATTTGCATCGGATCTGTTACACTTTCTTGAGAGTACCAAATTTCTAATTTTACTTGGTTTCCAACTTCAGCGTATTGGACCGCATGCCAGGCCAAAAAATGGCACTTCGGGATCTTAATGGCAGCGAACGAGTGCACTGTGGTGCTAATCTTGAATTTAAACGATAGCCCCACGGTGTTACGGGCCCACAGGCAGACCACAAAAACTGGTTGCACCAGCGTGAAATTGCACCAACAATCCAATTTTTCCAAGGCACAGTTTCTCTTCTGRGTCTTCTTCGTTTTTACTTCAGTTACAGAGATTTGCGTTACCCGCTCATAAGTGGATCCGTTAATTACCCGGCATCCAACTTTTATTTCTTGGCCTACCTTCCCAAGCAACTGAGGAAGTCTGTTAGTGCTATCCCAGCTCCATTCGTTTGCCAGGTAAACCTCAGACCCGTGCATAACCACTGTCGACAGGTTTAGGCCTCTGTTTGAATTTAACCCCATGCTTCCTGTGTATTTTACATGCGCTTGAGACCAGGGCCAATCTGTGCCAATTTTTGTGTATCTTCTAACCCTGTGCTGGGCTGTGGCCCGTTTGTCAAAGTGCCTTTCTAAGAGGGAACTGCTAAGGTTTGCTCTGAAGATTTGATCATTTAATTGGGCACATTCCACACTCAGTGCTAAAAACATACCAGAAAGCAAAGCAAATCCTGCAACCACAAATTTGAAATCTTTTTCCCCGCAGTGCAAACAGGGCTGGTGATGCCACGAAGTTCGCCCTTCCCGTCGGTCACAATCTCCTTCCATTTTTCTTTACCTGCAAAACATAAACAAAAGGCGGGCTCTCCAGCCCCGTTAATTTCCCTTCCAGGCTTTTAATTGTGAAGAGTGGAGCCACTTCTCCTGCTTTTTCTTCCCCTTTTTTATCTCTACCTGGTACATAGTGGGGCTGGCCTTGTTAACAATCCTAACGGGCCCGGTCCATTGAGGTCCCAGCACTTGGTTCTTCTCTCTAACCCCCCGATACATTACCAGGTCACCCGTGTTCCACTCCACGGGCCGCAGCAACGCTCCCAGTTGCTTCTCCATCTTGGGGACACTGGCTTCTTGTGCCAAGGCCAGCTGGTGGTAGGTGGCTGACACCGTCTTCAACATCTCCTGAATCCACCTGTCCGTCAGCACGCGGGGCTGTAGTTCATCCGGCGGTTCCCCTCCTTGCCACCAGTGTCCCAGCATCTTTGGGTCTCTTCCAGGAGTTAGTTTTGGGGGAGAAATTCTATGAGAGGCAAGGGCACCTCGTAAKGCCAGCAGGACCAACGGGAGTTTCTGATCCCAGTCTTTCCTTTGCTGGTTTACAAGTTTCCTCAGTGCTGTCTTCAATGTATGGTTAGGCCCCTCAGCTGATCCAGGCTTCTGGAAATGGCCCAGGATATGAAGCTTTTGCTTAATCCCTAATGCCTGGCACACCTCTCTTGTGACTTCTCCAACGAAGCGCTGGCCATGATCTGAATCAATTTCTTTGGGTACTCCCCACCGGGAGAACACGTGCTCTACCAGGATCTTGGCAGTAGTGCTGGCTGTGTTGTTTCGAGATGGAAATGCTTCTACCCACTTGGTGAAACTATCACCGATTACCAGGCAGTACTTGTTTCCTTGTGCTGTTTGGGGCAGGGGTCCAATAAACTCCATCTGCAACTTGCTCCACGGCCCAGAAATCCTTTGRTGGCCCAGGAGGCCTTTAGTGGACTTTGTGTCAGGGTTGTTGGCCGCACAAATAAGGCAGTTGCTCACGTACCTCTCTACGTCATCTCTCATCTCAGGCCACCACCCAGCACCCTGTAACCTCACCAAGGTTTTGTCTGTTCCCAAGTGCCCCTGCTCATGCGCCAGGGCTACCAACTCTGTTCGGACAAGTTCAGGCACGACCCACACTGGGAAGTCTGCGCCGTCCCTCCGTGCTAGTATCAGACCCGAGACATCCTTCCACACCTTGCACCCCTTGTACTCCCTGGCCTGAATCAAATCTCGGAGGGTTGGGTCTTGTGCTTGCAAGCCTGCCAAGTCCACGCTCTCTCTGTTCCTGCCTGCAGCTACTGAAACCGGGCCATTCTCCGCAGGCTTGCTGGCCTTCCACATTTGGCCTACTTTAGCTCCTTGCTTTGCTTTGGCGTCGGCCTCCTTATTCCACTTGGCCTCCTCCGTGCCCTTCTTGTGGGCCTTCACCTTGATGATGTGGGCTGGATGTGCCCTCTGTTCGGCCAGCTTGGCGAGGTACAGCAGCTTCTTGGCGTAGGTGACGGGCTTGCCGTCCGCCGAGTGCATGTCCCTCTCCCTCCAGAGCGGCAGCCACTCGAGCGCCGCCCTCACCACCCAGCCCGAGTCGGAGAAGATGGCCAGCGGCTGATCCACCGGCGTGTTCTCCAGGGCCACCGTCACCGCCACCAGCTCGGCCGCCTGGATCGAGTGCGGCAGGCACTTGCCTTTGACCACTTCGCCCGTGGCCCTGTTGACGGCGGCGTAGCCCGTGTACGGCACCCCCTCCTCGTGGTAGTTCGACCCGTCTACAAACCAAACAACGTAGCCCCTGGCCTTGGCCTCTGCCAGGGTGATGCTGCTCTCAAACAGGGGCGGCTGTCGCGGCTTCGGTTGGGCAAGGGGACAGCCCTGCTCATCGCCCCTTTCTCCACCAATGACCAGCGTGTAGGTGCCGGGGGACAGCTCTGGTGTCCCCGCTGTGACGTCTTTGTGGAGCAGGGAGAGCGTCCAGTTAGCCAGCCTGGGGCAACCCACGGCGCCCTCGCTCCCCTTTCCAGACACGAGATATTTCACCGGCGTGTGTGACGTTCGCAGCAGCACCGGTGCCGCCCCCACCAGATACTCCCAGTGCTGCAGGGCCCAGATCAAGGCTAGAACTTCCCTTTCATATTCMGTAAACTGCTGCTCGGTTGCTGTCAAGAGCCGCGACGCGTAGGCGACGGGGAGGAGGTCGGTGCCGTGCCGCTGGCTGAGCACGGCCCTGAGGGCCTTGCGTGTGCTGTCCAACTGCAGCTCGTAGGGCCGGTCCCCCTGCGGATGGGCCAGCACGGGCGCCTGCGCCAGGCTCTCCTTTAAGGTCCTAACTGCCTCATCCTGCTCCGGGCCCCACTCCCAGGAAGTGTCTTTTCTCAGGAGCTTGCACAGGGGGGCAGCCTTCTCTGCGTAGCCCTCAATGAACTCTCGGGAGAACCTCACGAGAGCCAAAAATGACCGTAAGGTGGTGACATCGGCTGGGGCGGACACCTTCTGGATGAGCTCCACCCTTTGCTTCTCCAGAGACCTCCCTTCTTCCCCCAGAGTCACCCCTAGATAGGACACCTCCTTCCAACACAGCTGGGCCTTGGTTGGACTAACTTTGAACCCAGTTTTCTGAATGACTTCCAGCACCTCCGCCAGAACCTCTAGGTTCTCCTCTTTGGTGTGGCTATGGATGAGGATATCGCCGACGCAGGACAGCACATTTGCCTTGTGCCCCAGCTTATCCCACATCCTCGCCACATGCGCGTGGCAGATGGCGGCGGCGTTGTGAAACCCTTGGGGCACCCTAGCAAACGTGTACTGCCGTCCTCGCACCGTGAACGCAAACTTGTACCAGGACTCAGGGTGCAGGGGGATGGCAAGGGAGGCGCTGCAGAGGCTGAGCACTGAGAACCACTTGGCTCCCCGCGAAATGGCTGCCATGACGTCGGGGCATTTGGCCACCACTGATGTTTTCAGCGGGGTGACGTGGTTGAGGGCACCATAGTCAACTGTCAGCCTCCATGTTTTCCCATCCGCTTTCCGCACGGGCCACACAGGAGCGTTGTTACTGCTCTGCTGCTCCACCAGCACCCCTTGCTCCAGCAGAGTTTTCACTGTGTCCCACAAGCTGTCCTCAGCCTCCACAGGATACTCATACTGCTGCTGAGGAGGAGGGTCAGGCCCCTTTATCACAACTACCGCATCTATCTGCCCGCAGTCCAGTTTGCTTCTTGCCCACACCTGTGGGAATTGCTCCGTGACCCGTTTCACGCGGGGTTCCCATTCGGGATGGAYCAGGAGCTCTGGGGCTTTTAGCGACATCACTCTGTGACTAGCTGCGATCAGCTGTGCATCTCCTTGGGGACAGTGTAAAAGTGCTTGATTTGCCAGGTCAACCACTACCCCCAGCTTTGTAAGCGTGGAGAYGGCCAAAACTCCGGGCTTTCCTTTCATTTCCATTTTACCAAATTTTTCTGACCCTTTGGCAGTGCCAATTTCAAATGGTATGGGCCCGGTAAATGGCACAGAAGCTTTTTGGCCATTGAGTCCATTTATGTCAATGATTTCAGAGGTTTGAAAGAGTCCAGTCTCACTAGGGGTCATATTCAGAATTGAATAAGAGGCACCAGTATCAATTAACATCACTTGTCCAAGCACCCCTCCTCCAATAGTTATATCAACTATCAGGCGCCCCCACAAATCGGTCTTAATCGGTGCCACAAAAAGGGGCGATGCAGGTGCCTGGCAGCCCTATTGCTGAGCCTTAGACCCTGGGTCGATGGGGTTGGAGCTGCTGTGCTTTTTGGCCTCGTGCAGTGCCAGCTTTCGGAAGAGCTCAGCGTCTGGCAGGCCGTCGATGTCTTCTTGCTTCTCGTATTTTATCAAGCGCTTCCTCAGCTCAGCCCTCCAAGGGTTGGACTTTTGAAACCTCATCCCCTGCTGGTTTTCCTTCCCTGAGCTGCTCTTGCCTTCAGGGTCCTTCCTGTTGTCCCCCTGCATTTTCCTCACCCCTGCGTTTTGGAAGGACATGGCTGCAGACTTCCCTTTCTTCCCCCCCAGCATGTACCCTGGGAACGCCTGCTTTTGCAGCTCGAAATTCTGCGTGAGGATCTGCTCGAGCTCAGAGAGCGGCTTCCTCGCTGCATCCCCCCCTGCTATCACCCGCAACGGGGGCGTCAGCCCCACCACCAGCGGCTCCTTGAACTCGGGCCTGTCAAAGTCGAGGGGGGAGTCCTTCGACCCGGGCAGCCCTGCCATCTGGTACAGCATCTTCTTCCTGTTCACATATGCGTCGGGCCTTTCCTCGGGGTTTTGCTTCTCCTGGTGGAAGAGCACCAAGGGGTTCACCTCCGGGAAGAACACCTTGAGCACGGCAGACTGAACGTCACCAATGTCCTGCACGTTCCCCATCTGCACGTCGCCCGGCAGYGCCGCAAAGTCATCGGGCTTCATGCACTTCCTCACCACATCTATCAGGTCGCTCACCGAGTTGCCGTTCTGGCAGCGCGGCAGCCTCTGGGCTCTCGACAGCCAGTTCACGGCCGTCTCCTTGGTCAAGGGGCCCAGCATCTTCCCCACCGTCTTTAGCTGCTCGGGGGTGAACCACAGCACAGCCCTGTTGGTGTCTATGGCTTGGAGCGGCACGTGGGCAGGGGGCTCGTCTGCCGCACTCTTTTTAGCTTTAGTAGCCTCCACCTCTGTCCCCTGCAGYTGGCACATCTCCTCCCGCAGCGGGGCATAAGGAGAAGGCCTCGTGGGGCTGTTTGCTCCCCACACATCATCCTCGTAGTCATAGTGCGGCGGGTGGGGGTCCAAGCAGTCCTCACTGTCACCGTTACCGAACCGGTTCCTTTTCCCCTGGATCGCGGCCACTATGCCCCTGGACACCCCCAGCTCGGCCTGCAGCTCCTGGATCTTAGCGTGGCACACCTTATGGTCGGGCCCGCTGCCGCGGTCCCGCTGCACGTCTTGCAGGACAGCCCTCACCGCGCTCTGCGCATCGTGCGTCTCACCTATCCACTTGCCCACCTCCTTCTCCAGCTCCTCCGTCTTCAGCTTCTCGTAGCCCAGCTTGTTCTCCAGGCGGGTGATCTCCACGGCGCTCCTTAGGGAGTCACCGCACAAGCCCTGCACCTCTGCCCGCAAGTTGTCCACTTGCATCTTGAGCTCGCCCTTGGCCTGTTCCAGTGTCTGCACACTCTCAAGTGCCTCCTTGAGCAGTCTGGACAACTCCCTACCTACCATCAGCAACCCCTGCAGTGCAGCCCGTTTCTTGCACTTGTTGGTGGGCTTGGGCTTTTTGGACTCCTCGGACCAGCTCTCCCACTGCTGGCACAGCTGCTGGTAGGCCTCCGGTCCCTGGAAAGCTCCCGGGGACCAGATCGGAGGGAGGCACTTCTGGAGCACAAACTGCTCCAGCTTCCAGTTACTGACAATATCGGTCATCATAGCAAGRGGTCGAGATCAAGCAGTGCTGCCTCAGAGCGATGCTACCATAACACGCGCGCCCCGTCCCAGCCCAGAGGAAGGCCGCAGCCCTCTAGCCTTCCCCAAGGAGCTCGTCTACCTCAGCAGCTCACCCAGGGATGCCCCGAGGCGGGCGGCCGCGCCGGCAGYGCCGGGGCTGAGGCCCTGCCTGCCCGACAAGCTCCCCAGGACAGCACGCAAGCAGGCAAAGCCAAGCACAGGTGTATAGGCCCCCAAGAAGAAGATCTCACCAATCCGTTGGGCAGACGTCCTGGGCGTCCCGGGAAGCAGGAGAGGGTCGCTGCAGAAGTCTGTGCGGATTCAGCACCTTTAGGTTCAAGGTGTTAACAGGGTCTTTGTGCCGGGCACTTTTTATAGACCCTGCAGGYCTTTGTTTGAGACTGATAATGCTGCTGTTTACTTCCTTGTGGCTCTTCCTCCCTCAGGTGTTACATTCCTGCCCCTATTTTCCCAAGGACAGTTCCCTTGGCCCTCCTTATCTTCTACTGCACTGATTAGCAAGCCCAAAACCACACAAGAGCAGCTGCTTTTTTCATTATTTTTATTTCAGATATTCATCCCAAGTCAGTCRCGGTAACTCTCGCTCATGCTAAGCGTGCATTGTGCTTGGCCAGAAGAGGGAGAGCTGAGGGYGTTCACGCAGCACCCACTGCCCCAAATCCCCCCCATCTGCAGCATCTTTGCAGCAGGGTCARGGCAGCCCCTGGGCTTTGAAGGGGCATCGCAAGCAGCACCCTAGGGCTCCAGGTGCCCTCACAACTCACACCTGCAGCACCGTCAGCATGCTAAAGGCRAGCTAAGAGCAAGCTAAGGGCGAGCAGACACCCCTTGAGCCAGCACCAGTGTGTTCAAGACCTCCAGCACTGAAATCCAGTTGCCTCAGGGGGCAAGGACGGGCAGCAGCAAAATTCACAGATCGAGTTTAGGGCCTCATCGTGACTTTGGGCTTCAGGCGCGGCCCTTGGCCTCRGGGAGAATCACAGAATCTTTAAGGTTGGAAGGGACTTTTAGAGATCATCTAGTCCAATCCTTCTGCAGACGCAGGGTCACCCAGAGCATGTGGCACAGGGTGGCATCCAAACAAGTTGTGCAGATCTCCAGAGAAAGAGACTCCACAGCCTCTCTGGGCAGCCTGTACCAGGGCTCTGTCACTCTCACTGTTAAGAAACTTTTCCTTAAGTTCCTGTGGAACTTTTGTTGCTCCAGTTCGTGGTGGTTTCCTCTAGTCTTACTGGTGCCCACCACTGAAAAGAGGCCACCCCATTCTCCTCACTCCCTCCCTTCAGGTATTTACCTGAAGATATACACACTGATCAGATCCCCCTCTCAGCCTTCTCTTCTCCAGGCTGAACAGACCCAGCTCTCTCAGCCTTTGCTCATAGGGCAGATGTTCCAGGCCTCTGATCATCCTGGTAGCCCTGCGCTGGACTCTCTCCAGCAGCTCCACATCCCTCTTGTACTGGGGAGCCCAGAACTG